TGTGCCCAAGGCGCCAGCATTACTTATTTACAAGGGAAGGGGTGAAAAAACCCTCACATATTGCAGGTCCTCATACCTGTAGAGGGTTGTGGTACATAAACACAGTCTGTCTAAGATGCCTGCATCCCGTGGCTCAGGGACTAAGAAACCAGCATCAAACGGAGGAAGAGGGGCTGGGACACGTAGCCCAGGGGTAGAGCACTTGCCTTGCATGCACGAGGCCCTGGGTTTAAACCCCAGCACACACTCCCATACACCAAGCATGCTGTGAAGATCCAGGCTGTAATTTTGGGTGACCCATTTGTAACACTACACTATTGATTTGGGGGTGGGCGTTAGTACAGCTCAGTATTAACATATAGCAGGGAATACTCAGTTTTCATCCAGTCAATGTCTACTGTTTATGCATTTCCTATGAAGAGCAAGAGCTGAACATCTTTCAAACAGTGCCTCCCACACCCATAGATGCTTGCTCACACAATGTAGGCTGTCCCCACAGGTCACCTCCAGGCTCCAGCCAGCACCAAACCACATCCTCTCTCCCCAGGAGGGAGAAAGACATCAAGATGCCTGTTGAGTTGGGCCCCAGCTCCTTCTGCCCCCACAGTCTTCCTGTGGCTAAGACCCAAGGGCACACCCATGCCCCCAGGGTCTGTGGTGGACTTGGTGGTGAGTTGGCCTGATGACCCTCAAACCACAGTTCAGCTGTGGCATCAACATGGCTCCCAGGAGGAGTCATCAATGGTGAGAGTTACAGGTGACAGTCGCTTCTGAGTCCCCCTTCCCTGGCATCCCTCCCTAGGGCCTGCATCCAGGCACACAACCACAGCCACCCTGCACTCACACAGGAAGTGGCGGGGGTGACCTACACTCCTGTCCCACTTTGGCTCTTCTAGATGCATATGGAACAACCCAACTTGGGGAGAGACGCTCCATCTCCTTCTGCTAGGGATTCCCCTTCACCAAAGCCAGCGGTGTCTAAAATGCATGAGCACCCCCAGGCCCACACTCCGAGATTCTCAGGCTGCAGGCCCTAGCAGGCCCTATGACTGCTTGGTGTTATCTCAGTGTACAAACCTGTGAAAATGTTTAATTTACAAACTAAAAACTAACAATTAAAAAAAAAACTATTGTAGGAAAAATTGTGTAAAACTATTTCATTCCAGAATTTTCCATTTAATATTTTGGACTGAAGTTAAACAGAAGAACCTGAAACTGAAGATGAGGGGGTGACTGTAAACTTTTGGTTGCCCTGGAAATGACACGTGAACTTGACTCTCTCCTTCCAACTCTTGCCTTCCTCACGTCTGTTTCCCAAAGGCAGCCAGCGCCACCTTCTCCAAAAACACCCAGATCACTGCTGCAGAAAAACCCCCAACACCACCTGCTGCTCTGACCTCAGGGCCACCATCACCTGCTGTTCCCACTCCCCAAATGGTCTTCCTACAGACCTTCCGGTGGTAGTGCCACCCTCCAGCTCCTAACCTGTGCGACTTCCCGCGTTTGTCATGAGTCACTCCCTTAGACATTGGCATCTACACTTCTATCTGTCCCTGAACACAACAAAAACGCCCCAAGCCAAGGCTTTGTTTCTTATCCCTCCTTCAAAAGCCTAGGGAAACGCCTGACTCAGGAGGCAGACAGCAAATCCTCGGGGGTCTGGGCATGAATGGTGGTCAAGGACTGAGGGGGAGGAAATGGGAAGACAGGGAGAGCTGGAGAGGATGGAGAAGGAAGAGGGAGGGACTCCATTGCTGGACCAGCCGCCTTCAGTGGCCTGAACTGCCCAGGTACAATCTGAGGCTTTAGGGAGAGAGTGGGCCCATGAGCCAGGGCAAACCAGGCTAGAGTTACGGATGACATGTCAAGGGCGGAGGAAGGGGACCTGCTACACCCAGAATGTCATTCATTTCCCCTTTCAGGGAGACTTTTGCCAGCATCTTTAAACCACCAGAGTGAGAAAAGCAGAGTTCGCAGATGAACTCTCAGCCCAAGAAGGAACAGGTGTAAAACAGGCAAGAGCATGCGGGAGTACTGCCCAGAAGAGGGACACACGGCAGGGCACTTGGTCATATGCCAAGTTGGGAGACACTGGGGTGTGGAGCTCCTTGGACCCAGGGGAAAGGCTGGGCAAACTTCCAAGGGCAATGTTTGCCTCTGTGCAGAGACTCATGTCCATTGTCCTCAGCTCACACACCGCCAGTGTGTGGCCTATGTTCTGAGCTACTGGCTCTGGCTTCAGGGAGAGAGACCTCTTTGAATGACAACTGAAAGGACCCCAAACCCAGTCACCCTCAGGCAGATGGAAGCATGTCTTGAGTCTATCTGTCTGCTTTAAACCACAAAAACACATCAAGAACCCCGTGCCACTGAATAGGTGTGCAGGGGTGGGGGTTGGTCCTGGTTGCAGGGCCTCTCACGAGGACCCAAAGCCCTGGCAACCAAGAGGCAAACTGCACCCACATTTTCTAAGTTCACCCCGGAGCACAGCAGGCCACACCAAGCAGAGCTTTGGAAACAGAGCAAGCCAAGCACCAAATGAACTGGCCAATGACACCTTGCTGCCTTGGGGACACATGGCTCAGGCCCAGGGAGACAAAGCATAAATGGAGAAACCTGAATATAGCATTTGAGGGACTATCTTGGGCTGCAGGACCAGACCTGCTGTGGGCCACACCTCGAGGACTATGGGCTGACAGAGGACAGAAGACGGTGGGAATGGCTCCCCTCAAAGTATGTAATCCGTTGCTGTCTAGGAAGTGCCAGGGCACCTCCTGGTCTCACAGATTTTTTCATGTCAACCAGGACAGTCAAGGCTCTGTCCTGCAACAACCTAACCTTTTTACCTTCTAAATCCACAGAACCTTCCTACAGAGGATTCTTCCCAGTTACAGGGGGCAGGAAGAGAATGAGGGGTTGCAAACCCTGTGAAGAGGCACTGAAGAGAAGTCTCCTACACTGGAAGCCATCGGTGCTCAAATGTCTCCATGTCTGAGGGCTGAACCATGTTGGGGGAGGGGAGCTCACCCCAACACACCTGTGAGTCTGCCTGTGTCTAGAAAGCTACCTCCAGAGGCCCCACAGGGCCCCCCAACCCAGCTGCTTCCTCTGTTACACCCGCCACCCCATTTGTACATGTGTGGCTATGGCAGGCATGGGCGACCATCTCTGACCCACCAAGGTGTCTACCTACAATTCTGTAACTGAGGTGACTAGCATTCATCTTTAATGCAGGACAATGGTAGAAGTGGGAGGGGCAGACACATCTCTGCTTCCAGAGACCAAACCAAGCCCTCCCAGAGGCGGCTGGGAGACACTTGCCCTGTCCAGACACGAATCCCTAAAGCGCCTTGCCTCCAATGGGGTCAGTCTCCCGCCTCTACATAGAGTGAGACCAGGTACACTCCAGGGCTCTGGGAGCTGCTACCATTAGCTGATGCTCTGTTGAGCTCTCTTTACCAACAGCTCTCTTGAAGTCAAGCAGCAAGACTGGTTCTCACCCGATGTCTAATATCTCAGATGGAACGTGCCCAGGTCACCTCAGAGCAGTCCCTCACTGCTGCATCTGACTCCCAGGCTCCATCGCTACTCACACAGCAATGCTACCAGGTTGGTCTGCCCAGGCACACGGGACAGCACTTTGCTAATTGTCCCAAAAGATCTTTGCTGAAGAGGTTTGACTCTGGGTGACAGCTCCAACACTGAGATGAGATCGTTGCTGACTGAGGCTGTCAGAAGTCTCAGAATACCTGGTAGCCAGGATGGGCAGGACTTCAAAGACTCTGAGCAAGCAGCATAATTTCCTGTCACCCACATGTCTGCAATCAGTCCCAGGTCTCCATGGTAACCATGGCACCTATTCTAGAGCACCCTACCTTGCTTCCTGTTGGGCTCCTGGGAGCTAATGGTCCTAAGTGTTTAGGGGTGTAGGTGGGACATCCCCAATCCAAAAATCTAAAATGCTCTAAAATCTAAAACTTGAGTGTCAAAATGATCTCAGGAAGTTTCAAATTCTTGATTTCTCCAGATTTCAGATTTGGGGGCTACGGAGGCAGGAGTGGCAACACAGTGCTACAGGGTATCCCCAAATCAAGACCACTTATGGCCTTGGTGCGGGACACTCCACCATGTACCAGCTGCTACTGCCCATGAACTGTGAGCTGCGGCTGGGGGTAGGGAGCAGCTTGCCACTTAGCATTTCTTTGTCCATTTTAGAAACCACCATCCCAGATTTCTGATCTCCTGGAGTCTTAAAGGGGAGAGAAGTCTCTTCTGCCTGCCCCGCCCTCTCTACCTTCAGGTGTGTGTAGCCTTCCTCTGAGAGCCCAACCAACCCTGTGTCGGCTGCTCTGACACACCATGTCTCTGTGCAGGCCATGTGCCCACAAGCTGGGGTCACCTTCACACAAGGCCTTCTTCCATCCTCCCCCTGGCCCTGCCACCCCATCAGCTGGGCTCATCCCAGCGGAAACCCATTGCTACCCCCCATCAATGGTTTCTGTGTCCAGGCAGCACGTGCCAGAGCTGCCTGCAGCCCCCATTCATGCTCGGGATAGAGCCCCTTTCAAAGCTAAGCTCCCTCCTCACTATCCGCCCCTCCCCCATGTACAGAAGAGGGCCATAAAGTGGGTTTTCCTCCACAGGAAAGAAAGGAGTCTTCCCTCCCTCCTGCCTTCCTGTCCATCTAAATCTGGCCACCGAAAGGGTATGGAAGCAGTGAGACAGACCCCGTTCATGACCTCAGGGGACACTCCAGCAGCCAGAAATCCCTTCACTGGCTTTTTCTATTAGAGTGGGGGGAGGGGACACCTATGACTGCTGGTACCCACTCCCAAGCTCCCTCAGGGAGATGGTACATGTGTGTGACACTAAAGGTTAGCTTTTATCAGCCCTCGAGGTAAAATGGAGATATGAGGCCCAAGGAGGTGGCAGAGTAGACTGGGCTGGGGGGGGGGGCTTGTCTTCTAGAATAGGGACACTGAGCAAGCACAGCTTCTTACCGTCATCCAGGTAGGTCTGGTCCAGATTCTGTTCCTGTTTGACTGTCACTCCAGTGGGCACAGCGTCCTTCTGGTCACTGACTGGGGGTCCGTTTTTGGTAGCTCTTTGGCTCAGGGCAGTCTGTTGTTGGATGACTGTGGGGTAGGAGCCTGGGCTCAGCCTCTGGCCTTGGTTGATGGGAGGAGGGCCAGGCCTGGCAGAGCTGGGGCCCAAGTTTTCACAGTACATGATATGCTGAAACTCCTGGTGCCCCCCGCCACGAAGCTGCTGGTTGGTGGGTGAGTAGTGAATCACGGGAGAGGCCTGCTGGCTAGCCGAGGATGTGTGTGGCAGGGTGGAGCCCTGGCCCTGGCCCTGAGAACCAGCATGCACCAGCACAGAGCGGTGGGCATCAGCCAGACCCAAGGGTGCTGCCAGGAGGGTCGGCTGCTGGTAGCCCAGTAGGCCTGGACTCAGGCTCTTGCTCCTCTGGTAGAGAGCTGCTGCGGGGCTCTGCTGCTGGTAGCGGGCATCGGGGGATGAGAGCCCCGAGCGGAACTGTTGGCAGGGGGCCATAGTAGCCACAAGACAGGAAGGGGACTCGGCCAGCATTGGGTGCTGTGGGTAATACGGCTGGCTCCCCAGGCCTCCATGAGCAGGACTGCAGATCAGAGACGGGTCATACTCGTCACTGGGCTCCGTCTTGATGGCAGGGACTGTGGAAGAGAAAAGCACAGGGCTGCAGCCATCATGGCTATGCGTGAGTGTGTGCTGAGGAGAAGGGACAGTGACTGGAAGCCTGGCTTTGGGGCCCAGTGGGTGCGAGCACACCGGTCTGATGCGCATTAGCCTCTGGCCCCAAGATGCACACCCCCACCCCAGAATTCTCTTCAGGTGAAACTTGACCTTGGTAATGCCTTGGCTTTCCCAGCTGTGGATGGGTAGAGGAAGGCTGGAATCTGTGCAGCCTTATTCCCCAAGGCTGGAGTGGGGAGGAGAAAGCGTGTGGTGACTGCCCCTCCCATTGACCCCTGCTGTGTTTCCGTCTACTGGACGCTGCCCAACACAGTGATGTTCAATTTTCACTGTCAACTTGACAGGATGGAGAGCCACCTAGGAGACATGCCTTTGGGTGTGTCTGTGAAGGAGTTTCTACATGGGGCAAGTGTGAAAGCCCAGCCTGAATGAGGACAGCAAGATCTCATGGGCTGGGTTCCTTTATTAAAGAAAAGGCATCCATCTCTGTCTCCTGACTGTGATGCCATGTGACCGGCCACCTCCCGCTCCTATACCTTCCCCTCCATGAAAGGCAGTACCCCCTCTAAATGTCAAAATGAAACCTTTGTCCCTTACATTGCTTTTGTTGGGTACTGTTCATAGCAAGGAGAAAAGCAGGTGACACCTTCCAAACATCCCCCTCAGCATCACCAGGTTCAGGAGGGAAGGACAACTACACAATGGTGGAGAGGATTGTCACCAAGTGTGAGTGGAGCAGCCTCCCGAGAGTCAGGGTTGGAGGAGGTGAGCAGGACTACAATTCTGACTCCAGGTCCCCAAGACCACTTCGGCAAATGCCATTCAAAGGGCAGTGTCTCAGTTCTAGAAGCTACAGACCTGAGGGGTGGACCTTGCTGGGGTTCCATTCCACCACCCCAGCACTGATGCTCAGCCCAGGGAGCCTCGCTACCGCAGACGAGGGGAGAACACCAGAGAGCAGAGGGAACAGCCCTCTTGCTGCAGGGACGCCACACACGCACAGTTTGTACAAGGTTCTCCCTGCAGCTTTGGGGCCCATGGAATGCCCCTGCTCCTCCTGTCACATGGGTCCTCATGGTGGCATCTTCATCACACAAATCTACTATGCACCCTGCTGAAGCTGAGCCCAGATGTGTGGACCACTCAGGGACAGTGTGGCTGTGGGGCTTTCAGGGCTGGGATTACAGGTTTACAGGCCAGTGGGCCTTCCCTAGCCTAGAGGGGTGTAGGTGGGGGCTTTCCCAAGGGTGAGTCAATTTATTCTGCAACTGCTGTAGTTACTAACCTATCGGTTGCCTAGGAGTCGTCACTGGAAGCACCCTGTGGGGTTAGTTCCACTTTCTCCGGCCTACAGAATTTCGTGAATGAGACCTTCTAGTCTGGGTGTGCCTCAGGTGACTCCACCCATGTGGGGACAGTCAGGGACCCTGAGAGTTCTAGAGCATGTTCACCTTGACCCTGAATGTGATCAAACCTAAGACAGGGAGGGGCAGCAAGAGACATCTGCTTGCTATCTGTCTGCAAATGTCCGTACCCAGCACCAAGTAAAAAACATGGATGACAATGGCACCTGGCATCAGTGGCTCACACAGGGAAGTGCCTTCCAACACAAGAGGAAGCTGAGGCTCAGAGGAGTGAGTCACTTCCCTCAGGTAGCCCAGCTGGGAGCAGACCTTGGGCACCCTGAGCCCCTGGCCAGTGCTGTCTGTGAGCTTGGGGTGTCGGGGAGACTGCCTCACCTGGGTGGTAGGTAAAGTGCTGTGGCTGACTTCTTTTTCTCTTTCCGTTGATGACATAGAAGTTTACTTTCACGGGCACTCGAATGTGCTTGTTCTGATACTCGGGGATCTCAACAAAAAGCATGTTCTAGAAGGAAGCAGTTGTCATGAACTTGACCGCATACAGCCATACAGGAGTCCTACCCAGATCCCAACCAAGTCCACCTACAGCAGGCCAGCTGGCTTCATTCCCCACATTTACAGAGAAATTTGATTGAAGGGAATTTAACTTTTCATCCCGGCAAGGAAAGTTGGTCTAGCAAAGTGTGTGAAGATGTCAGGGCCACAAACCAAAGGGCCTGGGGCTCCATAAGTGGCCGGCTCACTAAGTGCAGTTTGTACTTGCTGAGTAACTATGAAGTTCTCTGTGGGGAGGAGGGAAGGGGGAGGAGGGAGAGTGGGATGGAGAGACAGAGGGAGGAGGGAAGGATAAGATAGGAAGAGGGACGGGAGAAGAGAAAAAGAAGGAAGGGAAGGAGAGGAGAAAGGAAAAGAGGAAGAAATGGAGGAATACAGTAGAGAGAGAAGAAAATAAAGAGGGGGGATGAGGGGGAGGGGAGGGGAGAAGGGAAGGAAGGAGGCGGGAGGAACAGGGGACAGAGACCTCTGTGGGGTCTCTGAGCTCTGGGGGTCATCTTGGGGGCTTACAGGCTGGCTCTTGTCTTTATCCACCGTGGCTTCCATCTCCCAAACCTGCTGCCCATCTGGAAAATACAAAAACAACAAACAGCCTTTGAAGGAACCAGGAGAAGCCAACAGCGTAAGACAGCGCCATCAACCCACATCTCCACCATATCCCTTTAGCCGGGTGTGTCGGTGTGCAGGTGTTCCTGTGGTGGGGAGAGGGAGGGAGGGGGGGGGGGGGGGGGGGGGGGGGTGGGGGGGTGGGGGGGGGGGGGGGTGTGGGGGGGGGGTGTGGGAAGGGGTGTGGGTGTGGGGGGGGGGAGGGAGGGAGGGAGAGGATGTATGTGTGTGAGAATGTGTATATGTGAGAGAGAATTATGTGAAGAGTTGTGTGTGAGAGAGAGTTGACTATGACAGAGTTGTGTATGTGAGAGTATGAGTGTGTGAGAGAATTTTGTGTGAGTTCTGTGTGTTTGAGAGCGTTGGGGGTTGTGCGTCCACATACTCAAATAGTTTTTTTTGCAGGAGAGAAGCCTATAGAAAACTTAGCAGTAAACAAGCAAAAACAATTTGGAGGAACCGCAGACTCCACCATTGTAATCTCTTCCAATTCAAATGGCTATTTCTCTTTCTTAAAATCAAGTCACTGTTCTCCATGGCACCTGAGTACATTTGTCATTTCCAAAAGGTCCCCAATCCCAAGGCTGTCTCTGGAGCCTCGTTATGGTCCTGGCTTGTCACCAGTGTCCCCTCATCTGAGAACACAGGTGGTTTAGCTAGCCCACTCTAAATGGGGACAGAACAGGTGGCCTGACTCATGGGTCACCAGGAGGTGAGGGAACCCCTAAGCCCACTCCATTGCTCTCATGTGAGTCACCATAGCAATGACACCGCTCTCCCAGCAGTGGCTTCTCTTCCTTCTCAGGGGCAGAGGACCGTTCACTCCCTGAGTCTGAGGCCAGCAAATGGGGCCAAACGAAACTCTTTATTTTCAAATTATAGATTTCTCTCCTGACCACCTCCACTGACCGCTAGGCAGTCTTCACTGAAACAAAACATTTCCATGAGGGCTTCCAGGGTGTTTGTGGAGCGTGAATGCTGAAGGATATTAAATAGTTTTATGAGAAAGGGAACATTCTTGAAGCTAGTAAACGCTTGGAAAATGCTGAGTCAAAGTGCAACGGGTTCCTTGACTCAGCAGAGGCTCCAGTGTGCTCACTACAGTGGGCTGCGAAACAGAGCACATCCCAACATCTGGCCTAAGAACCCCGTCTTTTTCTGGAGCAAAGCTGTTAGTGTCTGCTGTAATCACTTAGGACCCCCAACTCTGAGGGTTGGCCAGAAAGATGTGGACTGTGAGCAGCATTTGAACTTACTGGCCTAGGGACAACCCCCCTCCCAAAACAAAACCACATTCTAACAAAAATCCTGTAATTGCTACAAAGCAGTTGTAATTGGAGGTTCTCACGGCAAGGGATAAGCCAGGTAGCAGCCAGGGTTCAGTCTTGGCTTTGTGATTCAATGAGGTACAATTCTGAACTTGGACTCTAGCAGCCACATGAAAGGCCAGGCATGGCCACACTTGGGCCTGTCACCCCAGCGCTATAAGAGTGGATACAGGACGGTCTCTGAGGCTCACTAGCTGCCAGCCTAGCTCTAGGCTCAGTGAGAGACCCCAGCTCAAAACAATAAGCTGGAATGTGATGATCAGGCTACCCAAAGTGGATGCAGAGTGACAGAGGAGGGTGCCCAGCATCAGACTTGGGCCTCCACACGCACATGTACAGATGCAGGTGCTCACATACACATGTGTACACACAGGTGCACAGACACACACGTGTGTACACACCACACACCCAAAGTAAGATGGAGGACAACAGAGGAGGACACCCAACATCAACCTCTGGCCTCATATGCACAAACACAGATGCAGGTACTCACAAACAGGCACACGTGCACACACACATACATGCATACATGCGTGCACATGTGCGTACACACACACACACACACGTAACAGAGAAAGGTGAGTACAGCCATTCTTCCTGGTCTTCGATCCCAGTGGAAGGGACCAAGTGACAAGTGTTGGTTGTCTACTGATCATGTTGAAAAGAAAAAAGAAAATAGCCATAATGGGATATACAAAAATGTCATCAGGTCCTTCTCTGAGGGACCAAGAGAAGCCACTCCAGATGCAGGAGAAAAGGTGGCCAAACGGACACCAAAGGCACCTGGCCAGAAGCCATCAATACTCAGTTCTGCAGTATGCAAAGATTGAACTAGTCCGAGATTATCCTCACATTTATGTCAAAGATGGACCCAACGTCATTGACAGGGACCCAGGCTGCACAGCCAGGCTCTGTGGGTTCCAACCTTGCTCACTAACTGCAGTGTGAATGCTGAGCCAGAAGCCCGGGTGGGATGCAGTAACTGTGACCCTCTTGCCCGGCTTCTCACTCCCTGAGCTCAATTACACATGAACCTCACCGCTCGGAGGAGCACTGACTGGGGAGGCTGAGGCAGGGGCCAGCCTGGGCTACAGAGTGACTTTCAAAACCAGACCAAAAGGACAGAACGGCAAGGAAGGGGGGGGGGTACTGTTGACTGAGTTTCAGAGCTCATCCTTGGGAGGTGCCAACAGAATTCCTGGAAGAACTGTCAAGAGTTGGACTGATCCTTGCTCTGTAGCCGAGGAAATACTGAGAGGCACGAGGTCAATGCTCACAAAAGGTTATCACATAGGTTATGATGTTCTTTATGGAGCCAGGAGAAAAGGACAGAGGCCTCACCCTTCACTGACGGGCACGACTACCCAAGGAGCTTGAGTACAGCCTGGAAGTGAGCTGGCCCAACGCCATCAGAAGGGGACCTAAGGCTTGGAGGAAGTTTGTGTAAAGATACAAGCTATTGTACCACAGCCTCCAAGCTCCAGTGGAGCCCAAGGGAACAAACTTCCATAGGCTCACCTCACTCTCCAGGTTCATGTCCTGCAGCCAGCACTGACTCCCTGTGTGGCCTTCAAGTGGTACCTAAACCTCTCTGTGCTTTAGTTTCCTCCAAGAATTGGGTTGAGTATTAAAATAGGCAGTTCAAAAAAATGTTCAGCCAAAAGCTCAGGCCATGGGTGTCACCACCACTTCACTTTAGAATTTGGGATCTTACACTGGCCTCCAAAAAGGAGAATTGGCTGGGTTCCTAACTCAGATTTTGGGGAGTAGGGTCTTACTAAGTTGCATTCTTTGCTCAATGAATAGAACAGTCATGGATGGAACTCACAGATAAGGACTGGCTGGATCCATCATGGCAGCCTGTAGCCAATAAAGGAAGGAAGGATGGACAAGTGAATAGATGGACAGGTGGATGGATGGATGAGTAGATGGGTGTGTGGATGAGTAAGCAGGAGGATGGATGGATGGATGGATTGTGGGTGGATGATGGATACATGAATGGATAAGTAGATGGATGGGCAAGGGTGAGTGAGAGGGCAGATGATGGATGTGTGGGCGGGTGGACAGACGGGCAGACAAATGTGAATGTAGTAAATGATGGGTAAGCATTAGGGTGAGTGAGTGAGTGAGTGAGGAGGTGGATGGATGGACAGATGGATGGATGGTGGATGGACAGATGGATGGATGGTGGATGGACAGATGGATGGACAGATGGATGGATGGTGGATGGACGGATGGATGGATGGGTGGATGGACAGATGGATGGATGATGGATGGACAGATGGATGGACAGATGGATGGATGATGGATGGACAGATGGATGGACAGATGGATGGATGATGGATGGATGGGTGGATGGACAGATGGATGGATGGTGGATGGACAGATGGATGGACAGATGGATTAACTGAGGATGGACAGATGGATAGACAGGTGGATGGATGGTGGATGGACAGATGGATGGATGGTAGATGGACAGATGGATGGATGGATAGTGGATGGAAAGATGGATGGATGGTGGATGGACAGATGGATGGATGGGTAGATCTATATTTTCCTAATTGGAAAATACACCTCTATTTAATTAAGAAGCAACCTGACTCAGTATCTACAGACCAGTCTATGTGGCATGGGACCATCTTGTGAGTCTATAAAGATGGCTGCTTGGATATAGTTAACTACAGGTAGGGGGGTGCTGGCCTGTGATCCCCGTGCTTGGTAGACATAAGCAGGAGGATGGTGGGTCCCAGAACAGGCTACCCTATATAGCTGGACCCTGTCTCAAAAGCAAGACCCTAAAAAGCAGGGAGTCTGGGTTCCCATGTCACACCTCTGGCTGGGCTAGCTGAGGAGAGATTATAGTGACACCTCCCTGTCTCCTATCACTTATTCGAGACATGTGGGATGTGACGCTGGCTTTAACCTACTTGCATTTTAATCTTTTTTTTTTTTAACTGAGACAAGTACTCATGTAACTTGCTGGCTTCCAACTCTGTATGTAAATGAAGATGACCTTGAACTCCTGATTCTTGTCTCCTCTGACATGGAGGGTTGCAGGCATATGCCACCATGTGCAATTTATGCTGTGCTGGAGGTGAAACCCAAGGCCTCATTCATGTTAGATGATCTCTATACCAATAGAGCTACCATCCCCTGGTCCCTTAATCTTCTTTTTAAAATATATAAAAAAAAATTTTCTTAGGAAAAATGTATACCGCAGCTACCTCATGACCTGCCTGTCCACAGGTGCCCTTGGGGCCATAATCATAGCTGGGTGCTTGTCATAGATTCTGATTCAGATCTGGTGTCTCACACTGCAGGCCCTGTTCAGGGCTAGGGACGGGGATAAACATCCTCCTGCCTTCTGGGTTACCCAGACTGGGAGGCAGCACCTGGGATCTCTTCACTTTGCCCCTGCTCCCCGTGACTCTCAGAGCCATCCAGCCTTCTCCAGGCTTCATGTCACAGCTCTTGTAGCTCTTGCCATGGAACAGAAGCTGGGGAAGGAGCGGGGACATGGGGGTAAATGAGAAACCATACAAACTTCATGTGACTTAATCCCCAGGATACACTAAGGGGCCTCGGACCAGCATCTTGTACTCCCCAGTTCCCAACCCCCCTGCAGGCCTGAG